TGCTGGTGGTGGTAATACGGGGGGAAGGGGAATGTAAGACAGGGGGAAGGTTCCGTTGAGACGTGCATTTAGCTTTGGCATGGTGAAAAGCAACAACTGTGAGAAAGAAATAGGGATCTAAAAGTACATTGAAGCGTGGAAAACAGTCGAAGAAACAGAAGAAACGGAAAACAGTTGTGAAACTCGTGCAATTCTTTCAGTCACAGTCCCCTTGTGTATTTATTCCACTATATATGTATACACGTGTATATATGTATAGCCGACCAATAGAGGGATTTTATCATCTGCTAATAGCAAAACAAAATCCGGTAAATAAGACTCTAGTTTCTTTTTTCCAAATTGTAGTCGTAATAGCAAACTACAATCAATGCTGTTAAAAAATATTTACAGGAAATTAATATTGTCAAATTTTAATTTTTTTATCAAGTAAATCAAGAGAATTTTAGAACTTAAGTCACACCGGGTTCTATCAAATTTTAATTTCAAAAGTAAATTGTTCAGAATTTCTACTTAATTATTATGTTTTAAATTTATTTTTTAAATAAATAAATTTAATTTGTTTAAACAATTTTTATAATTGTTAATTTTCGTATATTATTAGTATTTAATATTAGTAATGGACTTTTATAGGTTTTCTATGTTGAAAAATTAAGAAAATGTTACAATTACTTAGCCCTATGAGACGAAAAGATTTAAATAAGCATTATTAATTTGTTTAAACAATTTATATAATTGCATATTTTAGTTTTTTACTAGTACTGGGCTTTACTAAAGCTAGAATAGTTGCAAAATTAGGAAACATTACAGTGCTGCTGTATTAAATAAAATGTTCCAAATAAACAATATTAATTTGTTTAAACAATTTCTATAATTGTTCATTTTAGTTTATTATTAGCAATGGATTTTTATAGGCTTGAAGCGTTTGCAAAATTAAAAAAAAGTTTCAAGTCTCTAGCTTTATAAGTTAAAAAGTTTTAAATAAACAATAATAATTTGTTTAAACAATTTTTACAATTGTATATTTTATTTTTTTATTAGTACTCAGCTTTACTAGTCTTGAATAGTTATAAATTTTGAATAAGTTACAACTCTCTGGTTGTAATTAATGAAAAGTTACAAATAAACTCTCTAAATCTGAATATGTGAAATTTCACTTATTGTACGTTATAAGTCGTCCTCTCGATCAATAAGTGCATATACACTTATAAATAAGTGAATTTTTCACTTATTCTGAGTGAAATTTCACTTACTATAAGTGTATATGCACTTATTGATCGAGAAGACGACTTATAACGTACAAATATGTGAATTTTCACATATTCAGATTTAGAGAGAACAGTATTCATTTGTTTAAACAATTTCTATAATTGTTGATTTTAGTTTATTATTAGCAATGAATTTTTATAGGCTTGAAGCGTTTGCAAAATTAAAAAAAAGTTTCAAGTCTCTAGCTCTATTACGTGAAAAGTTTCAAATAAACAATAGTAATTTGTTTAAACAATTTTTATAATTGTATATTTTATTTTATTACTTGTCCTCAGCTTTACTAGACTTGAATAGTTGCAAATTTGGAAAATTTTACAACTCTCTCCTTCTATTCAATGAATCGTTTTAAATTAACAATATTAATTTGTTTAAACAATTTTTATAATTTTTTAATTTCATTTATTGTTAGCAATAGGCTTGATAACGTTGAAAAATTAAGAAAAAGTTACAAACTCTTTAGACGAAAAGTTGCAAGTAAATCATATTAATTTGTTTAAATAATTTAAAAAACACAAGCAAGGATTGTTAGTAATTAAACAAATTTTGGTGGAAATTATTTTAAAAAGTAGTAATAAATATTTCACGACAATCTTGCCCTTTTTCTTCTTTTTATGATTTTTTTGTGGCTATCTAAAAAATAGTTAATAATTATTAAGAAATTGTCAATGAAATTATTTATTTTTATTCTGCATTTATTGTAATTGTAAGGAAGTTTATTTGGTTTATTGATGTTTGTACCTTGCCAAAAATATGTATAAATAAACAAGTTGTGTGTTTTTGGTGTTGAGGTAGGGGGAGGTGGGGGTTTATTGACACTTTACTAGTGGAATGTTTCGAAACATGTTTCCGTTTAAATCGATCTAGATTCCAATGGACTATGTTAAAGTTTCACATAGAATCACACAGTGCTTAAGTAAAAAATATATGCGATACAGGATAAATCCATTCGAAAGCATAAATTACGTAACATAAACCAAAAAGAGAGAAAAATTTCTAAATAACAATTTAATTCTTTTTTAGAATATTCATTTCAATAAATTTTTTATTCATCTATTAAATATAGTTAATTTTGTAGTTTTCAGTTATTTTTTTTTTTTTTGGACTTTGATAAATTAGCACGTTTATTATCCAGACACTTTTTCTTGCTGACAATGAGAAGAGAAGAAAAAGGAGTCTTATGAAGATTTTTCAGATCTTTTATTGTAATAGTATTTGCTTATAAAATCATCACGTTCGAACGATTCAAAAGAAGCAGTAATTGGTACCATCAGTTTGAATCTGATCCTTCAGTCTTAGGTTTACCTAAAAAATTCTTCTTTGGAGAAAGAAGGAAAGAGATATAAAAAGAATGAAAAAAATTTTGTCGTCTTTCAATTGAGATATTTCCCTGCACTTTTTTCCCTTCTATTATCTTTCGATTTTTTTTTTTGATTTTTCTATTCGAATTTAAGTATTTAATTTAATTTCTTTTACATTTTAACATTAAATAAAATAGGTATTACTTTTTTTGCATTATACTATTACACTGGAAAAAATTTAATATTTTTCAAAAAAGTGAATAATATTTACAAAAGAATAATATTCTTATCAAATATCTTATTAAGAAATAGTATAAGGTAGAAAAGAATATTATTCTTGAAATATTAAATTCAAAAAATTAAAATTATAATTAAAATTAAAATACAAAAAAGAATAATATTATTGAAAAATTACTCTTTAATGCATAATGATAAGCAATTTAAATAAATTGAACGAATAAAAGAATACAATTGAATAAAATAAAAAAATATCTAATAACATACCAAAGAGAATAATTTTCTTGAAATGTTAAATTCGAAAAAATTACAATAAAAAAAATCATCGATATGGCAAAGAATGGAAAATTATTGAAAGACATTCAGTTCGAATGTTAATGCTCTAAAGAAATAATTTACAGGAATATGTAGTGTTATTTGTATAATATTATGTAAATTTTCCACAGAATGGTTGGTTTTCGTTGAGGAAAGTTGGCTTGTATGATTTATGTGTCGGTCAAGTAAATAGTTTATACATTCACAAGATACTAGTATTCAAGAGTCATAGAGAAATATACATATTACGGTTGAAGCTCTATTTCCGTTCTTTGTTGTAATTACACATCCTATGACTCGTAATAACTTTAATTAATTCTCTACAAACGGTTTTCAAACATCCACTATTATATAATTTATTTGTTTCGAACATCAAGTTCATACAAAAGAGTTGCTTTGGACAGAGTACAATCGTTTCAATTACAAAACTTTTTAAATCTTAATCTATATTTTTAACACATTTCTTATATATAATATTATTGACTTTACATTATTATTATCTGGAGATAATATGAGGTCAAACCAAGTGTTCGGTATAATTGATTGTTCCTCGCTTGTACAGATATATTTTTTCCTAGTGTTGCTATGCAAATCACACTCTATAAGTACATGGTACAATTCTCTGCCCTTATATATTTTATACTCTCTCATTCAATATTATTTATAACATCCACTATATATAAAACGGATATTTGAATTTTCCACAATTAAATTTCTTTATCTGGTGTTATTTAGATATTTTTCACAAATAGCAATTTGCATTTTTTTATAAATTATAAATTTATAAATTAAATAAATTATAAATTTTTTATAAAGCTAGGGCTAATTAATTGCAAAAATGATAAATAAAAATTATAATAATAATTATAAAATATAAATATATTATATATATAAATAATATAAATAAATATAAAATAATAATAAAATAATAATAATAATAATAATAATAATAATAATAATAATAATAATAATAATAATAATAAAATAAATAAGATTTAATAGCACCTATAAATATCTTTATAGGTAGTAAAAAAAATTATTTTTAATATTTTCGACTTTATTTGCAAAAATTACAAATAATTATAATAAAATATTAATGGAATATTAACATTTAATTTTATACATAAATATTTACAAACTAAAGAATTTATTTTTGATACTTACAATTTTATTTGCAAAAACTACAAATCATAATAATAATAAAATGCTATTGAAATAATAATATTCAATAAAATAAATTTTTATAAATTAAAAATGGTTATTTTTCGTTTTATTTTACAAGTTGAAAAATATGTGTCTTATTTTATCTTTAATTGAAAATATTTAATTTGTAATTATAAAAAGTAAATTATAATACTTAATTCTAAGTTTATTTTCGAAATAAAAATTTTCATATTCATTAAAAAACTTTTATTTTCAGTTACATATTTTTGACTGTGAATTTAAAAATTTTAATTTTTAGTTCGAATATATTAATTTTTAATTGAGCATAATTTTATTTATTCTTTATTTTCATTTTGAAGCGGAAAAATAATTTTCTCTAATATTTTATTTGTTCTTTAATATAAATTTGAAAAGATTGTTTGATTAGGGGAAGGTTAAAAAATCATTTGCTGACGATCTGACATATGATTTTCTTCGAATCACTCTCTCGTATCTTTTTAAAACTGTATCAAAAAAACATTATTTTTAAAGCATTGTACATATTAAGAATTAAAAAAAAAATTTTATGAAAAATTTGGTGAATTTTTATAGTTAATGAAAATTTTTTTCAGTTTTTTTTATTTTACATTTTATTTTTAATAGTTTTTTTAGTTAAATACTAGTAATTATGAAAAAAATTGTTAATTTTATTAATTTATTTTTGCATTTCTGTTACAACAGTTTTTACATTGGAAGAAATAAGTAAGTAAACAGATTATTTTTTAAATATTATTTTATCATTTTAATTGGTTTTTTCAGACTTTTCAATTTTTTTCAATAATTTAAAATTTTTCAGAATGTACGGAACAAAAAAAATTTCTCGTAAATATAAATCATAAAGCCATCATAATTAATGGCAAATTGAGCATTCAATTTCCGAGAGAAGAATTCAAAGTCTTTACGTATAAAAATACGAAAGACGTTGATTTTTTTATAAGTGAAACGTATGTGAATTTTCAAGGTAAGTTACCTAAGGTTGAAGTCAATAATAAATTTTATTTTAATTGAAAATTTCATTTTGGTAAAAAAAGGTTAAATTTTAAATTCATAAAAATAAACATTTTTAGTTAATTTTTTATCAAAAACTAAGTTTTACAGTACAATTAAAATTAATCAATTTGATCAAAATTAAATTATTTGCAATTGAATTAAATTTAAGTTAAATTCAAAAAATCCCATTTAATTTAATTATGCTTTTATTTAACTTTAATTTAATTAAACTTTAACTTTATTTAAATTAAATTTATTTTAATTTAAGAACTTTAGTTTAATTTAATTTAATTTTAAAAATTCAATTTAAAAATTTTAATTAAATTCCTGAAGAAACTAAATTTAAATAAAAAATAATTTTTTAAATTTCAAATATTTCAGGACGAATGCTAAGTGATAGAATATATGAAAATCTGAAACCAATAAGTCAAATTTTTCACACGCGAATCTTGGGAGTTGCTGTCTTAAAGGTAGAAAAGGTAAAAACACTATTTATCTTTTTCGAAAAATCATTATATAAAATCTAAAATAATAATTGAAGATTAAAAATATTTTTATGTTGTAATTTTATACCCTATGTAATTATGTTATTAAAATTAATTTAACTAAACAAATTTAAAAAAAAATATATAACTATTTTTTTCTCCTAAAGGATATTTCTCCTTATGACACTATTCTCACACAGTGTCAAACATTTTTACCGAGGAATGAAAACGATAGGTTATTTTTTTTTTTTAAAAAAAAAGTTTACCAATTAAAAAACATTTTAAAATTAATTAAAAATTCTCTAGTTTCAAATTTCCCATTGAAGTGAGAAATAAAATTCTTCACTTGGCAGAGAGTTGTTTAAATATTGAGTTAGCGGTAAAAATTGGAAGGCTGTTGCCAAAGGATTTTCCAAAAATAACTGATTTTAATAATTTTGAACCCCATTCTGTTGATTTAAATCATAAGAATGGAAATTCATGCCCTAGTCATTCAATAACTGAGGAGAAAAAGAAATTGGATTCAATGCAGGTTTTGCATTTTTAATTTAATTATTTTTTTTTTCAATTTAAATTTTTAAATTTTATTTTTTAATTTCTTTTTTTACTTTCAATTTCTAAATTTTTACCTACAGGATTTCTTACTAATTTTATTTTCTTTTATAACAAGTTGGCGCTGAATACAATTGTCGATGTTGCATTTATAGAATTGAAAACGATCCTAAAAGAAAGAAAAATGGAGATAATAGAAATTCCAAACATTTTTCAAAAATATGATGCATTCAACGATACCTATATTAAAATGTCAGGTTATTTTCTAGGCGAAAATATTACTTTCGAGTAAGAAGATTTTTCTATTTAAATCAAATATTTTCATTTTAAATTGTGTCAAAAATTTTCACTTTTATATCATGTTTAATTTTTTTCCCCCATCATTTTTGTTAGAGATTTATCAACAGTAAAAAGAACAAGTGAAGTTGTCATTGATCAAAGAAATCAAAAGCTTTCAATTTCATTTGGCTTTGGATTGGACAGAGCGAAAATTCATCTTGGTTACTACGAGGTAAGAAAAAAATAACTACAAATAAAAAGAAAAAAATTAAAAAAAAACTGATCAAATAATTTTTTTAACTAATTAAAAATTAAATTAAAGTCTATAATTTAAAATTAATTTTTCAATAATTCAATTAAAATTAAATTAATTAAAATTCAATTAAAATTGAACAAAATTTACTTATTTTTCATTTTGGTTTCTCTTTCAGGCAAAATTCGTTGTTTTTTCAATGAGAGGAAGTATTTTGGCATCAGTTAAAAATATTGATGCTGATATCAAATTGTCAATGGATTTTAATAAAAAGCAATGCAAAACAAGTTTGGATGATTTTCGCTTTTCGCAATTCGATGATTTGCTAGTTAATATTTCCGGTAATAAAATAATTAGTCCCCTAGCGTCAAAAATAATTACGTCAATTATCAATAAATGGAGAACAAAGATTGCTGAGTTTATTGAAACAGCAATTGGTGAACTTGTAACATCTGAACTTGATGAATTCAATTGTGAAACTTACAGATCTGCTCTGAATCCAGAATATTAGTTTCTAATAAAATATTTACATATTTCAATGGTATATAGAAATTTTTTTCTTTTCTTTAATATTTTTTCAGTTAAATTTACCATTATAATTAATATTTATAATAAAAAACAAATTGTACAGTAGAAACGGGTGAAAAAGCCACATTTTTACATTTTACGCTATAAAATCTGAATTTAAAATTTTTTTCTCAAATTTCCAATTGGCATTGAAAGTTTAGTTATTAAGCTTGAATATTCTTGACGGAAATATTTTTTATCCCATGAAAGGACTAAGTTTTAAGAGTTTACTTTAGGTAGAACATCCACACTAGAATCAAAAGTTGCGTATTACCTAAATAGTATTTATAATCTAAATGTCTGATAAATCGGTTTAACAGTTTTTAAATAAAAGTCAAATGGCTTTTTTGGACCTTGGCTTTTTCACCCCGTTCTACTCTACATTATTAAGAGACATAATTGCGTAAATAATAATAATAATTTTGTAACAACAACAAACAAAATTTTTTAATTCTACTTTTATTAATAATTAATATTTTTATTTTAATTTATTTAAATTATTTAAATTGTTCTGTCAATAGTAAAAAATAATTTTCAATAGAAGACTTTTAAGTAGAAATTTTTTCTAATACCTATTTCAATTCTTGTTGTTATAAAATATTTCAGGTAGTTAGTTTCCCTCTCCACTGGCGAGAAAACCCATTAGACGGGTGGTCCAGGGAGTACTCCTAATTTTCAAGTCGTTCTGTAGGCGCAAAATTTAGTATAAGAAATAAATATAGAAATATTGTAAGAGAGAAATTTGTAAAGAGACACTTGTATAGCGAAGTTATGTAAGCTGAATACAGGTGTATAAACTAAATAAATAAATAAATAAAAAATAAGTGGTTCAAATCAGTTTTAGTCAGACTGATATTTCCTAAATTATTAAAATCAATAGGGGCAAAATTTCTCTAAAAAAAATTTATAATTTTTGTATTTCTTATTAAGTTTAATTTATAAAATTTATTTATCAATTTATCAATTACTGGAGTTAACAAATTTTTACATTCCTAAAGAGAAAAAAGTATAAATTTCTAATATATTCAAATTAGAATAATTATGTTTTTAAAGAAAAAAGAAAAATTGTAAAAGTAATTAAAATTTTTTTTTAAATGTAAAACATCCTCGTTGATTTTGCGGATATTTTTAAAGTAATAAAAAACGAATGCTTTTAGTTACTGAGAGGACAAGATGGGTTGTAGATTTTATCATCAATATTATTTTTTAATTCACCGTTCTATACAAGCTACTCACTAAAGCCTTCTTAACTCAAGTCTATACAAGAATTGTATCTCTCTCTCTCTCTCTCTCTATTTTTTTACCTCTCTTCATGTCGCTTGAAAAAAAACTTGTATATAAAAGATTATTTACAAGATATCATATTTTTTGCAAAAAAAAAGAAGGAAAAATAAGAGCAATTAAATATTTCAAAACTGATAATAATGATAATAATAATGATGATAATGATGATGATAATAATAGTAGTAGAAGAAAGAATCGAAAGAACTTTAAAAAACACAGACGCACATTACATATATGTATTTGAAAATGAATGTAAAATCGATTAAAAGCTTTTTTACGGTTACCTATTGAAATCTTTTTGACGACTGGAAAAAAATACCCACCAGTAAAATTGCCGCAATTAATGTCTATCATCTGTGCTTTTTTTTCTTCCTTCTTTTTATTTTCACCGATGAAACATTGCATTCCAATACAGCTTTGTTGCAAATGGATGAGCCATAACTTACAGGCAGTGTCGAAAAAGATATAAAAGAATAAAAGAAGCGACGTTGGAAAAAAAAATTGTATCTTGTTACTGTCCTACTTCTTTAATTAATTTCCCTCTTTTTTTTAATTCTCTAATTAATTTTCTTTTCTTTTTAATCTCCAATTAACTTTCTTTTGTTTAATTTTCTAATTAATTATTTCCCTTTAATTCTTTATGTAAATATTCTTTCCCCTAGCTACCTTTTTTCATCTTTTCTTTCAATCCTTTATCTCTTTATAATAATTAAAATAACTTTTTATTTTTAATTTTTAAATTTTCTCATTTCGAAAATTAAATTAATTTATTTCCTTCTTTAATTTGAAAAATAATCCTTTTCATAAAAAACATTTTAATTAAAGACATTTTTTTCCGAAAATTTTATTTATAAAAGTATTTTTTTTCAGAACAAGCGAAATAAAACGAAAAACTCGAAATAGAATTTTTCTTTAAAAACTCATGCGTTAGAAAATATTCGAAAATAAATAATATTGATTTATATTTTGATAAAGTAAAAATACGCGAAAAATATTGAAAGGAAATAACAATAGGGAAAAAATAATATATATATAAATCTTTATAAATATATGGAAAAAGAGCTAAACAAGCCTGAACAGAAGAACCTCGTCAACCAAGTTTTTCAATTTTCCAACTTTGAAAAAAGGGAACGAATCTCGAGGAGTTGGGAAAAATGCTGTTCCGTACAAATAGAGCCTATTCTATTTCCTCTTTTATATCCCCCGGTCTTTCAATGTATGTATTTCTTGTGGTCGATTTCCCAAAGTTCGAACAAAATTTTTTTTCAAATAACCACTCGTTATTTTCCATTTTAGTCAGAATAAATAAAGAAAAGAAAATAGTGAAAAATTTCTTTCAAAAAAAAAAATGAGAAGGGGAAAAATAATAAATAAGCATTTGCATTAGTAATAATATAATTAGCATTAACATCGAAATTTTTTGATTCAATAATTGTGATTAATTAAATACAAAAAAACCGACGAGTAAAACTTTTTTTTTTTAATGTCAAATTTAAAAATGTTTTTTGACGATATTGTTATTTTTAATTAATTCAGATTTAGAGAGTATATTTGTAGAATTGACCTATCAGTGGTAGAATTAATTTTCAGTCAGACTAAACTTTTTTAAATCTTAAATTTCCGTTTTCAGTAGTAATACTGAATTATAGTCAGACAAAAAATTTTAATTTAATGTTAAAATAAGATTATGTGTTATTTACTATTTTAAACCATTTTTTAAGATTGTTTCCATTACTTGAATCAGTAGTAAAAAACTATTTTAGTCAGACAAAATTAATTAATTTCTTGAATTTTTACTATTTCATAGTAAAAATTATTAATTATTACTTATCAAATGAATCAGTTAAAATATAAGCTTTTTAAACACTTGTATGTGTATTTATCAAAAATAAGTAGTTAAAGACAATTATAATCAGCCTAAAATTATAAATTTATAAATATAAATTATATTATTGAAAAAATATTGAATTATTGCAATTGTTCTGTCCAGTGGTAAAAAAAATTTAATAGAAGAATTTAAAGTAAAAGATTTAAAGTAAAAGATTTTTCTAATAAAGGTCATTTTAAAAGTTATTTCTACAAACTTTTTAATTCTCAATTTTTTATTCCATTTATTTTTTTAAAAATACATTTTTTAAAAACTTTAAAAAAGCGTTATTGATAGTTTCTTATAATTATAAATTTTTGAAGAATTATTTGATTAAAATTGATTATATCTCATTTCTATTTTTTACTTTATTTTTATGTTATTTAATTTTTTTTATACAATTTATAATTTTATATCTACTTTGAATAATTCTGATGCTGACTAAATTAGAAAATTTGTACAAAAATTATTTTCAGAAATTAATAGTTTTAAGAAAATTATATTTTTGAAACAAATATGTTAAAAAAATCTTATTTAAGATTTAAATAGATCCTAGAAAATTTTATTCTATTACAAATCGCTGCATTTGAAAAAGCCAAATGTCTTTTTAAAAAAAAAAAAAAAGATTTAAAAAATGTCTTTTTTTAGAAAAAAAAGATTTAAAAAATGGATTTTTTTTATTCTTTATAAGAAAAAGAAAGAATAAATTGTTAGTATAATAAAAATAAATTATTGAAAAAAAGAAAAATTGTAAATGTGAAAAAAATTAGTTTTCTGAATTTTTAATTTTACTTAAATTATAATAATTACAGATTCAATAATAAAACTGAATTATAGTAGGAAAAAATTTAATTTATATTAATTTTACCTTTTTTGTTTGAATTTTCCCAGAATTTTTCACCTTTATTGTAATTTTTGTATAAGTATTCAGTAGTAGAAAAATTTTTCGGTCAGACCAAATACATTAATTCCTCAGATCTTAAATATTAGTAAATGATAATTTTAGTCTGACGTTAAAAAAATTTCCTTATTCAGAATTAAGTTATGTTAGTAGTTAAAGTACTAGAATTTTACCAATTTTTGCAATTTTACTATTATTAGTAGTAAAGAATACGTTAAGTCAGACTAAAAATTTTGTAATTTTTGTAGTTTATGTAATTTTGTTTCAGTAGTATAAGTAAATGAGTCTAAAAATTTTTACCCTTTTGTAATCTTTCCATCAGTAGTAAAAACGTATATTCTTCAGACAAAATTTATTAATTTTGCATTGAAATGTTACTGTTTAGTAGTAAATTATATAAACCAGTAGTTAAAGACAGTTATAGTCAGACTAAAATTTTATGATTCAATTTTTTGTTTCTTCCCGAATTATCAAACTCAATTGGGGTACAGTTTTTCTATTTTTGTACAAATTTAATTTCTAATTACTACTTATCTAATAAAACAGTTCACTTTCAAATATTTAAAAAAAAAATTGTAAATGTAAAGAAAATTAGTTTACTAAATTTTACTTCTCCTGAATTGTCCTGGCAGCAGTAGAATTAATTTTGGGTCAGACTCAAATTTTCCAAATCAGTAGAAAAAACTTATTTTTGTCAGACCAAATTCATTAATTCTTTGGACCTTTAATAATAGTAGTGAAATTTAATTTTAGTCAGACTGTTAAAATTTTACTCATTCAGAATTAGTATTGAAAGTCAACTTTTAGTCATAATAAATTTTTGAAATCTCCCTGGCAGTAGTAGAATTAATTTTCAGTCAGACAAAAATTTTTTAAATCATAAATTTCCGTTTTCAGTAGTAAAACTGAATTATAGTCAGACAAAAATTTCAATATGTTGTTAAAGTAAGATTTTTCATATACTAGAATTTCACCAAATCCTGAAATTTCACTAAATTAGTAGTAAAAAATATGTT